TGATGTACTACCATTACCCTTTATCCATGCACTGACATGAACACGACCATTCCCATTATACACCCTGCACTGCACTGCCAATCCATACCATTCCCATTATCCCTGCACTGACTGAGTTCTACCATTCCCATTATCCCTGTCACTAACGGAGTGCTACCATTCCCATTATCCCTGCACTGACTGAGTGCTGCCATTCCCATTATCCCTGCACTGAGTGAGCGCTACCATTCCCATTATCCCTGCACTGACTGACAACTACCATTCCCATTATCCCTGTACTGACTGAGTACTACCATTCCCATTATCCCTGCACTTACTGACCTACCATTCCAATTATCCCTGCACTGACTGAGTACTACCATTCCCATTATCCCTGCACTGGCTGAGTACTACCATTCCCATTATCCTGCACTGACTGACAACTACCATTCTCCATTATCCATGCACTGGTCCTTAGAATAGGTGAACTGACATACAAGTATTTATGTGAGATGGACAACAGGAAGTCCCAATTTTGGTACCTTTATTATGTTAATCTCACGTAAGAATACCACATTAATCTATCAACCCAACAGCTTAAAGGGGAAAATTAAGCAGAAAAAATATCATTTTCAATGTAGCTGTTTCAGTTGTAGTAGATACTTCCCTCATTTCGAACCCTTAAAGGACCACTATAGGCACCCAGACCACTTCAGCTTAATGAAGTGGTCTGGGTGCCAGGTCCAGCTAGGATTAACCCTTTCTTCTCTAAACATAGCAGTTTCAGAGAAACTGCTATGTTTACCTATGGGTTAATCCAGCCTCTAGTGGCTGTCTCATCGACAGCCGCTAAAGGCCTTCTCACTGTGAAAACTGAAAGACGCAGGGATAAAATTAAAATTTTTTATAGACTGGCTGAATGCCGCGGTTATGCGCAGCATTTCTCAAGAAGAGGGAAGGAGTCCCAGCCCGAGGTACCCGGTGGAAAAAATAAGATTAACTTTCCCTCTTTATACAGTTTGTTTTCCTAAATGGTCCAAATTTTGCACCATGTACGGTCAAATTTTAAAAGAGGAAAATTGAAAAAATCAAAAAAAGTTATTTGAAACATGTTTAGATATCTTAATTTATATTATTGGTTTTTTTCTTTTTCGCTCTAATTTAGTATCATTTTTTAATAATTTGGTATGGGTATTTAGTATAGATATGCACTTGTATATTTAATTGGAACATATAAATGTAATGTATATTTTCTAATTTTTAATGTTTCTCTTATTATGAAGTGACATTATCTTCTGTGATGTCATATAAATTAGCAAATATACAATCACAATTTGTTTTGGTTTCTAAATTGCTCTGAATTTCAGTTTGGTCTAAATTGATAATTTCTGAATTTCGGACTGCCCTAATCTCTGGTAAAGAACCCAAGAAGAGAGGAAATCTAAAATGTATAAAGGACCACTATAGTGCCAGGAAAACATACTCGTTTTCCTGGCACTATAGTGCCCTGAGGGTGCCCCCACCCTCAGGGTCCCGCCCGACTCTGGAAGGGGGAAATTAAACTTACCTTTTTCCAGCGCTGGGCGGAGAGCTCTCCTCCTCCGATCCTCCTCCGTTCCGCCCCGCCGTTGAAGACACTACTCATAGCTCAAGTTTCAGCCATTCATAGGAAAGCATTTACAATCACAGTGGACGCAACCTCCCTGTAGTGAACAGCCCTAGAGGATTGGGGGAAGGCTTAACCCATTGATAAACATAGCAGTTTTGTGTCCTGCTATGTTTATAAAAAAAATGGGTTAACCCTAGCTGGACCTGGCACCCAGACATTAAGCTTGCCTAGAGTATCCTTTAAGCCACACCAATGGCCTTTAAAGAGATTTTGTGCGCCACCTTGTGAATACTTATATTCACAACACACCAGTCAGAAAGACATACTAAAAGATTAATCTGCCCCGTATCTTATTTTGCCCATAACATTTATTTAATATTTTTTGAGCTGTGATTTTTCTTATATTTTAGATCTTGTGAAGGAAGTTTCTTGTATTATCTACAGGTTGTATATATTTTTTGTGCTACCCCTTTAATCTATACTAGTATTTTATACACCCGGTATAGATTTACTTTTTTGTTCACTTCTTATTCCCCCCTCATCTTATTCCCATTATCCCTGCACTGACTGACAACTACCATTCCCATTATCCCTGCACTTACTGAGTACTACCATTCCCGTTATCCCTGCATTTACTGAGCACTACCATTCCCATTATCCCTGCACTGATTCAGCACTACCATTCACATCATCCCTGCACTGACTGACAACTACCATTCCCATTATCCATGCACTGACTACTACCATTCCCATTATCCATGCACTGACTGAACACGACCATTCCCATTATTCCTGCACTTACTGAGCACTACCATTCCCATTATCCCTGCACTGACTGAGCGCTGCCATTCCCATTATCCCTGCACTGACGGACAACTACCATTCCCATTATTCATGCACTGACTGACAACTACCATTCCCATTATCCATGCACTGACTGAACACGACCATTCCCATTATCCCTGCACTTACTGAGTACTACCATTCCCATTATCGATGCACTGACTGAGTACTACCATTCCTATTATCCCTGCACTGACAACTACCATTCCCATGATCCCTGCACTGACTGACAACTACCATTCCCATTATCCCTGCACTGACTGAGTACTACCATTCCCATTATCCCTGCAATGACTGAACGCTACCATTCCCATTATCCCTGTACTGACTGAGTACTACCATTCCCGTTATCCCTGCACTTACTGAGCACTACCATTCCCATTATCTCTGCACTGACTCAGCACTACCGTTCACATCATCCCTGCACTGACTGACAACTACCATTCCCATTATCCATGCACTGACTGAACACGACCATTCCCATTATCCCTGCACCGACTGAGCGCTACCATTCCCATTATCCCTGCAATGACTGAACGCTACCATTCCCGTTATCCCTGTACTGACTGAGTACTACCATTCCCATTATCCCTGCACTGACTCAGCACTACCATTCACATCATCCCTGCACTGACTGACAACTACCATTCCCATTATCCATGCACTGACTGAACACGACCATTCCCATTTTCCCTGCACTTACTGAGCACTACCATTCCCATTATCCCTGCACCGACTGAGCGCTACCATTCCCATTATCCCTGCACCGACTGAGCGCTACCATTCCCATTATCCCTGCACTGACTGACTGCTACCATTCCCATTATCCCTGCACTGACTGAGCGCTACCATTCCCATTATCCCTGCACTGACTACTACCACTCCACCTGCACTGACTGACAACTACCATTCCCATTATCCCTGTACTGACTGAGCGCTACCATTCCCATTATCCCTGCACCGACTGAGCGCTACCATTCCCATTATCCCTGCACCGACTGAGCGCTACCATTCCCATTATCCCTGCACTGACTGACTGCTACCATTCCCATTATCCCTGCACTGACTGAGCGCTACCATTCCCATTATCCCTGCACTGACTACTACCATTCCCCCTGCACTGACTGACAACTACCATTCCCATTATCCATGCACTGACTGAACACTACCATTCCCATTATCCATGCACTTACTGAGCACTACCATTCCCATTATCCCTGCACTGACTCAGCACTACCATTCACATCATCCCTGCACTAACTGACTATTACCATTCCCATTATCCCTGCACTGACCTTAGCACTACCATTCCCATTATTCCTGCACTGACTACTACCATTCCCATTATCCCTGCACTGACTGAGTACTACCATTCCCATCATCCCTGCACTGACTGAGTACTACCATTCCCATTATCCCGTCACTGACTGACTAATACCATTCCCATTATCCCTTCACTGACTGACTGTGTACTACCATTCCCATTATCCCTGTACTGACTGACTACTACCATTCCCATTATCCCTGCACTAACTGATTACTACCATTCCCATTATCCCTGCACTGACTGAGTGCTACCATTCCCATTATCCCTGCACTGACTGAGTGCTACCATTCCCATTATACTTGCACTGACTGAGTACTGCCATTCCCATTATACTTGCACTGACTGAATACTACCATTCCCATTATCCCTGCACTGACTGAGTGATGCCATTACCATTCTCCCTGCTCTGCAGTAACTGAGTGCTGCCATTCCCATTATCCATGCCTCGTCTCCTAGAATAGGTGAACTGACATACAAGTATTAAGGTGATGGACACACAGGAAGTCCTTAATTTGGTACCTTTAGTTATGTTAATCTCACATAAGGATACCACATTAAAGGGAAACTCCAGTGCCAGGAAAACAATCTGTTTTTCTGGCACTCCAGGTCCTCTCTCCCTCCCACCCCCCAATCCCTGGTTGCTGAAGGGGTGAAACCCCTTCAGTAACTTACCAGAGGCAGTGACGATGTCCCACGTTGCTGCTTCTTCCTCCGCCGCTCCTCCCTGTTCTTGCGTCGGCCGGTGGGCCAGACTGATCCCGCCCACCGGCCAGGGAGACCTAATGTGCATGCTTGGCAATGCCGCGCATGTGCATTAGAGCTCCCTATAGGAAAGCATTGAAAATGCTTTTCAATGCTTTCCTATGGGGACATGAGCGACGCTGGAGG